AAGATCACGAGACCAGAATTCATATGAATATGATACATTTCTTTTGTTTCTTTTATAGTCTGAGTGAGATTTAAGTAAATTAATAATTTATGCGTAAATCTATGATCAAATACGAATATAAAATCACAAAAAATTGATTTTTACTCATTGATATTACAAAGATTTATGCAGATTTCAAATATTTCCTTGTAGGTTTTGTCAACAAGTTCTGTCAATAAGTGACATGCCTAGTGAGAAAACCTTGTTTTAGTTGAATTTCATTTATACACCAGATGTGTTTTGAAACTTTTGGGTACATGGCAACAGTCCCCAAAACTGGGATAGGCGGGTACAAGAGGAGGACAACAACATACAGAAAACAGTCTGCCTGCCTTATGTGAAGGGGTAATCAGAGAAAATACAAAGGATCTGTGGTCCATATAACATCAGGACAACATTCAAAAGCTGAACGACACTTCGCAGATATCTCTCTCGAGTAAGACCCCCCCCCATAGAGGAGAGCATGACTAAAGACTGTGTGTACACTATCCCGTGCAGCTGCGGAAAGAAATATAAAGGGGAGAGAGGCTGCCCCCTTAAGGTAAGGCTTCAAGAAAACCAGAAAGCTGTAACACGAGGGGAAGTGGAAAAATCAGGCGTGGCTGACCACATATGGAGAGAAAAGGGAAATCACCGCCCTCTGTGGGATTAGGTTGAGATCATAGACAAAGAAAACCATTGGAAAATTCGTAAACTTAAGGAATCAGCACATATGCTAGGCCACAAAAATCTCCTGAGCCGACCAAGCATAGAAATGAATAAAATATGGGAACCAGTAATAAGGAGTGCCAGAGAAAAACGATAATAACAACAAAAATTGCAATATAAGCTCTGGTAAAAACATGCAATGATAACGGCAAAAATTGCAATGAGCACTGGTAAAAAATGGTTGCTGAAGACATTAAGTTTATAATACCCAGAAATTCATACACCGATGTCTTCAAGGCACAGTGGATAAAGGCGTTGGTTAGATCCAGTGACAGGACCAAAGACTGTGAGTTCAATACCCGGCTAAGGCAGTGGAGAACTTGGAAAGGGGAATTAACAGGAGATAAATTATAACTAACATCCATTAAACACGGCACGTGGAACTAGATCAGTCTACCTCAGTGAGCGAAATAAAGGGTTCAGTTCGACATTCCAAACACCTGAAGAAGGCAGGAACGTACAACGTCCGAAAACGTTGTAATAAATATGGCGACAAAGATGAGGACAATAGTCCAAATAATGTAAATAGTGTACATAATACCTCATCTCAGAAATATAGACAAATATTGAAACTTTTTGTTGTACAATTTCAAAAGAAAATTTTTTTTTGCATTCTGATGAATCTTTAAAGCAAATGCCAAAATTGGTGATTTTTAGGTTATTGATTCTTTCATTGAAAATAGAAAAATATTTTGACATATTTCACTTTTTATTTTAAGGTAGGAATGCAACTCAAACGCAAAAATATTGTGCCATTTATAGAAAATGTATTGTGAATGATCGAACATACTGAAAATCTCTTACTGAACCATACTCCTCAGTCGAATAAGCGAATTGAAGTTGGTCAAATGAAGACATGTTTGAGTATATATTATCAATATATTAAGAAGCGTGAAAAGGCCAACATACAGGTCGTGAAAATAATGAAAAAACCAATATACAACTTTTGAAAATATTTTTCCAATTTTATTCGAAAATAGATTTTATATATAGTTTATAGATCAATAAATCTACTGTCCTGAATTTGGGGTTATTTGTGTAATACAATGGACATATTTTGATTTTGAAATGGTGGTGCATATTTTACAACATGGAAGGCAAAAGTATTGTAGAGAAAGTGAAGTAAATCACCACTAATCGTACCAAGGCCGGTCTTTTATCACCTTCTTTGCTTGTGTATATGGTGGAACTGGAGGAGAATCCTCTGAGTTACGCCTGGAGAAGCAAAGAACTGATTCAAATAAGTAAAGCTCGTAATTAGATCAAGTGAGAGCAGAAATCGACGAGAAGTGCTCGAAATTAATTATGATAAAAAGCATAATATTCCACCAAAAATGCATCTTTTTTTTTAACATGAATGGCTGAAAATGTTTTGACCAGTGCACCTTTCGATAGCCATTTATTCTGATGGAATTATGAATTTGGCTAAAAGATGACAGAAGATAGAACAAATATATATATATATATATATATATATATATATATATATATATAAGTATGTGTGTGTGTGTGTAAAAAAATTCATGTTGCAAAAGTGTTTTATATTTGGTTAACTAACCGACCAAACTTTTGGGGCCATAGACATCTAGAGAATCAGAAAAGTGTGCCTTAATCACTTGGTTTACATACTTATTAGTAATCTATTGTGACTATTGTTGAAGTAGAGGCAGAGCATACCTAATTTCTGGTAACTTTGTCGACTCACTTTCTAACTTCCATCAATCAGGTTCTGAAATCACTGTATGCAACACGTGATCATGTTTGCAGTTAGTGTCCACCTCAGAATATCCGCCCATTTAACGCTTCTCAGCAATGCGAAACTTCAACTGACTGCTACTGATATCACACACACACACACACACACACACACACACACACACACACACACACACACACACACACACACACACACACACACACACACACACTCTCTCTCTCTTTCTCTCTCTCTCTCCCTCTCCCTCTCTCTCTCTCTCCACAAATCATGAGTCATTATGAGCCGTTAAGGTTTTCACATTCCGCAAACGCTTTATAATAATTACTCATTTGCTCGAGGAGATTGAATGCACCACCAACCTATTATTTTTATATCGTAAAAATTCCGTTTGTGACTGATGTACCTAAACAAGGAATACAACTTGAAAGCTTTTTCTAATCAATTGTACACAAATTCCTTTGCTCTCTTCGTCAATAATAGAAATATCAACACCAGATAGCGAGAACTGTTAGCCAAAATATATAATCATGTTTCGTGTCGTCGACTATATCTATATATATGCTAATTTTTGTAATTAGAAAAGCAATCCTATATATAAAATCATATGAAAATTTGAAGAAAATGTAATGATTATCGAGTAAATATGTATCATTTTGTTATACGTTAAATATTCAAGAACTTTTTCGTTCCAAAGTAAAATATAAATAAAACATCACTCTAGTTAATTAGGTTAGTGATTTCAGTGGAGAAAATGGAGAAATGAAAATATTTCGATTAACATCTGCATTTGATAGTGACAGAATTCAATAGCAATAAACATAAATCAGCGTGTACCTTTTTTGATGGAATTGTAGTTTTTGTCCTTATAACCTATTGTACGAATAAAAGGTGATTTCCCCACCACGTAGATTTGACAGTATTTGACTGTAAGAAAATTACCTCAGAAATTATTTGCGTATACATTTGGATTAACTTCTGTCTAGATTTCTTAAAACATTTTAAAATCGTATTTATTTGGATTAATTTCTTAAAATATTTAAAAATCGTCCAACAAGTTTAATTTTTCTTCTTAACATTAAAGATTTCTAATAAGAAATAAAACTAAATTATTGTTTCTCTTTTGCTTACATTATTATTAAGCAGAAAAAGTTTTCCACAAATTGCCAAACAAATCGAATTTCTTTTTTATTAAATAAACCATCAAAATTCAACAGACATTGAATGTTTTGTTTCAATCCAGACAAGAAAAGAAAAGCAACAAAACACCTCATAATCAAACAATTCATTTTATTTTGGAAGTTGATAATAAAATTAATAATTAATTAATAAAAATTATGAAATTAGATATTCAGTATATTCTTAAATTTTAACACTTTGGTGTTAAAATTTAAAAATATACTGAATATCTAATTTCACTAAATTTGATTATTCGTGATAAATTTTCAAAAGTTTAAATCCGATTTTGACTTTTTTTGTTTGATCAAACAAAAACAGTAAAAATGTCTCAAGTTCGGTTCTAAACAAAATGGTAATAATTATTTTGTCAAAATATTACTTAATCTTTTTTTTACAACGGTACATATAAAGTTTTAAGATAACATGTAATTGTTAAGGTCGAGCAATTTAGGGCATTTTTGTATTCATATACCATTGAATTTTTTGGATATTTTGTTTATTTAATTGATTTTACGGGTTTTGTTCAACCGATACTAAGAAGAAGAAGCATGGAATTTGCTCTTTAGTGTGCTGTGACATTTGGACGAAAATTGATTTGATTAGTAAATCGCTTAGAAACAATTTTTTTTTATTTTATTTTAACTAATTGTGGATATCGTGTTTTGAGCTAGCCAGTGGTTACTGGCCGTCATAGTAAACAATTACTTTAGGATTTGTTAATGTTTTTATATCATAGCTTCTTCATTAGAAACAAGAAACCTTTGCATGAATAAACTCTTTCTAATAACAGGGAATGAAAATCTTTAAAGGAATTTAATTAAACAAATTGAATGAAGTTATGACTTCTGTTAAGTAGTAGCTGATTCTTCTATTGTAAAGAAAGTGTAGACATTTTGTAAATAATGAATGTTTCCAATAATTAAACTTTTTTCTCTTCGTTACAGCAAAATGGGCCTAGGAAAATACTGGACAGCATTTGGGATCAACCGACAGGATGATCAGAATATGATATGATTTGCTAATTTCTATGTTCGGTAGGCGATACAGATACCTTTAATTCTAATACATTGTTGTATACACACGCACACACGCACACATGCGCACACTCACACACACACACACGTAAGCTCGCCTGTATGCGCAATAAATTTATGTATTTGTAAAAGTAAAAAAATTAAGAATAAAAAAATTGCTATTTGTCTAATATACAAGTTCTTGGATAGGACCGATGGCTTTGCAGCAAATGGACTTGAAAAACGGCGAGGAAGGTGAGCACAAGTTGCAACAGCTTTTTAAAGCGTGTGACCTTGATGGTTCTGGATATATTGATCAGTCAGAACTGGCGACAATCTGCACTGATATGTCAACTGATGAACTAACAGACGTATTCAAAGAACTTGACACAGATGGCGACGGACGAATTAGTGTAGACGAATTTGCCCGCGGATTTAAAGAGATTAATGGAAACTTATTACAGATTTCTCGCGATCGCAGGAGAAAAAGCCTTGCAGAACTTATGGAAGAAGAGGATTTAGATAGAGATTCATCATACACAGATTTTGTTGGTTCACTTGAAGAAGGTTTCCAGTGTTTATCGTGGTAAGTGAGAAATCTAAAACTCTTCAAATTTAGTTTAATTTAATTTACTCTTCAAATTTTAAAGATGGAAGGAGGATATGAGATGATTGAAAATTCACATAGGACAGAAGTTATTTTGAACTATAAACAAGTAGCAGAAAATAAAAGAATCTACAGTAATATAAGCTCTAAATATATACACGCATATAGAAATTTATTCTTTAAATATGAAAATTAATTTTTTCCTCGTATTAAAATGTCGAATAGATGCTTATATATGTTTAACCATTTAATAATGAAATTATTCACCCACAGACACTGAAAAATTCAATTGTTATTAATTGATAAGAAGTTATAGTGACACAAAATTTAAATGATATAAAATGAGGATTAATCTCTTTCACCTGCATCACATGTAAATACTAAATATAAAAATGAAAATTCATTTATAGACGGTAATTTTTCTCAGTTATCACTTCAAACTAATTTTCCTTTGCTACACACGCAGATACATATATATGTCTTCAGTACACACGCAGATACATATATGTCTTTGGTACACACGCAGATACATATATGTCTTTTACCGAATAAAATGTATTTAAAATACGAGGAACGCCCCGAAAGAAAATTCTCCTATTTCTACAGAAGTAACATTCATTCTCATAAGCTATACATTTTCGTCAGCAATAAACAAGAAACTGCATTTGGTGGGTTGAAAACAGTGTAGGGCTGCCCGAAATGTGACACATATCGTGGTCGATACATGCTGCAATACATTACTGTTGTGGCCTTGTTAGGACAAAAAATAAACACACAAAGAGAGGAATTGAGTTAAACAAATATATTAACATAAACATATACATTCATATACAAACGAGAGTGTTACATCAAGAATATTCGGTCTGATTGTCAAAGCTGACTGCTGGAAACATCCCTACCTTCAAAAGGCAGGATCTGCTCCTATTTTAGCTGGGAGAGTTCAGGCTTACGTGGGTAAATTACCATAACCAACTGCCTAACTGCGGTGATATCCACTATTTGGCCTCCGCAAATATTCAGTGAGCGAGGATAAATGACCATGTCTACAATATTTTTCTACGAGTAATAATTCTATGATATACATTTTTTGCACATACTTCTATGTCAAACGATATTTTTCCAGATTGCAACTCAGTTGCCCTCTGTACCAAATATATATATATATATATATATATATAGAGAGAGAGAGAGAGTTTTAGACAGAATTATTGGCCCCACTGAATATTTGCATATTTTCTGGAAGTTCAATCTGTCCTTACTGGACAGGCGGGAATTACAGTTCACTTTGGCATTCAAGAGGGTCGGCATTGCAAGTCTCCGGAACTTGATAGTCTGCCCAACGAATTGTATTTGAGGCTGTCGGCATCTTTGTGTCGATGTTGACAGTGGTTTTCAAAAACCGGTTTCGGCAGGTGTCCGGCCCCGATCGGATTTCAGGGGTGTGATCACGCTGTTGAAAAAGGGCAAGGATGGTGGAAGGAACTAGGTGGAATAGCTGTCCATGGTGGGGCTCGAGCTAGGGTTTCTGCGTACGCCGATGACGTATCCATTTTCGTGTCGTGCCGCAGCGACAATGAGCTGATGCAGAAGGTACTTTTCGTACGAGAAGGTCACGAGGACCAAGATTAACCGCAGACTTGCTGCGGTTAGGTGCCTGGAAGAGGCTCGATCTTCCGGGGCCCTTTAGTTGGACGGACGGGCTTGCCCGCATTCTCGGGGAGTGGTTCGAGCCCGGACTCCAGCTGGAGAAAAATTGGTCTGAAGCACTGGCAAAGTTTGGCGCGTCGGACGAGATTTGGCGCCGAAAGCGATTGTTCTTGAAGGGTAGGGCTGCGGTGTGTGCCACTTACGTCTTTCCTCTTATCCTCTACCGGCTTCCCCTCTGTAAGAAAGCGATCGAAAGCTTTCTGGCGTCCTTCTTATGGGGTAGTCGCAAGTATCACGTCGACAGAGGTGTCTATGCCAGCTTCCGTGTCATGAGCGGGGGGAGGGCTGGGAATCCCACACTTGGTGAGTCGCCGACACGTCTCGAGTTTGGCTTTTCTACACCGCGCGTTGACAGAGGATTTGATTTTGTCAAGTTGTGGGAGGGCAGCATTCCCTCGCTCTACCATAACTCCCCCGGTTTCCAGGGCTGAGCGCCTTCATAAATCCAGGATCAGTCGGATTTCCTTCTCGATTGTCGATCGGCCTTGAGGGTCCTCGGTCCAAAGACGTGAAAGATCTAAGAGACTATTGTATCGGGAATTGATGAAGGATAATCTCTGTGGGTGGTTCGGCTTGTCGGCGACCGATTTGCGCTCTTGAGCGCCAATGGCGGATTACCTCAGCAACCCTGAGTTTTCGGTTACCTGGCGATTGGTCCGGAACAAGTTATCTTTCAATGACGTAGCCTTCAGATGGAACGGGGCGGATTTGCCCGACTGCCATCGGTGTGACCTAGGTTTAGAGGAAACGGCTTAGCACGCCTTCCATCATTGTCCTCAGATGCGCCCTTTCTGAGACCATGTCGCCGAGTTGACGGCTCGTATCGGTCCCAAGCATTTCGTGCCCATTGATCGCGCATACGCGTGGGATAATGTATCGCCCCCGTACTATAGATGTCGCGAATGGAAGGAATTTTCATCATGACCTGGTCGGATTCATCCGGCATCAGCTCAAGGTGAATATCAGAACTAATAGAAATCATTTGTTTTCGACAGATTTCAGCAAAAGGTGGGTAAAAGTTGCAAGCTTGGTGCGAGTGAATTTTAAGTCCCCTTTGAAGTCACGGGTCTGTTTTCTGCGAACTCTCCCTTTTGTTTACCTAGCTGATGTGAGTAAATATTGTTCCTGATCTGTTCTCGGTTCTCTCTTTTGTTATGAGCCATGTCGAGATTCCTAATCTCCCCAGTCTGTTGTCCCCTTTTTTCTCGACTGGATCAGCCTTTATTTTTTCCCTCACCGTCATTAATTTTTTATATCTCCCCTCTCTGTTGTTAGTGAGTGTGCTTCTTGATTCCTTCCAAAGGCAGAATAGAGCGGTCAGTCTTGTTATTTTTGTGGGATGTTTGGGACCGACTAACATTCGTTCTGTTTAGTTTGGATGCTTTGTTTTGTATTTTAGATTCTTTTTCTGGGTTCATTACCCCACTCTTTTCATGACCATATATTTTTATATATTTTGTAAGAAAAAAAAAGAAAAAAAAAAAGAAGACATTTTGAACTGTTTGTACATAATGAAATTTTTATGTCATGTGTGTTTTTGTAGGTTCCCTGAGAATTTGTGACGTATGAGTTTTATGGTGAATGAGCAAATTGTAATGAATGCATGGGTCGTGAATCTGATTAGCTAGGTCTCGGATAGAAAGTGTTGACCAGCCTTACCTCACTTCCCCATCAGCCTTGTGCCGCAATTGTTTCAATTGAAGCAATAAGTAACTATGTGAGTGCCATGTACTATGATAACTCATTCATTCTGCAAGCATGGTGTAGACGGTTGAAATTGACAAAAAACTCCGAATGAAGATAGTTGATGCGTACAAACAAGGTAATAGATATACAACACTTTCCAAGTGTTTAAATATTTGTAGATCGACAATTCGTACTATTTTCAAGAAGTACAACGAGACTCATAGGTTGAGAATAAATTAAGGACTGGCAGAAAATGGTTTTATAAGAAACTAGGCAAACTGGAAAGGGATTAAAAAATATTTTTTAAATGGACATTTTTTTCAATTTTTATGGATTATCAAAAACATTTCAAAAGCAGAAATCCGACAACAGTACACAATTAAGGGAAATAACTTACATAAAGTATTTTCCAATATCGACAAAAATACACACATTCTATTAAGAATACTAAATCGCTAAATTATTTTACGAGAGTCGCTCCGAAAGTAATGCTTTTTATTTTATTATTCTGGCCTATGAAAATTTCAATATTAGTTTTTGAGTTCCATTTAACTCGGCGGTCAGTCAAGTTTAGAATAAAATTAAATAAAAAAAAATGACAGCAATAAATCAATTCTTCTGTCTTATAACTGGCGTTGTTATTAGAAACAGGTCTCATTCAAATCAGATAGTGTGCTAAATTTCGCCTTGCAACCTGCATATTTTAATTAACAAAATGGTGTGATTAAGACTCTCGGTATTCTCCCTTGCTTACCCATAGACGATGGATCGCCTATCGATTTCAATAAAATAAATTTATTTGAATTGTTTCTATTTAAGAATGTTAATCATTTTAGTCTTGTGCATTTAACTGGAAACATTAAATATTCACTGTGTGTGAACAAACCTATTACTTTTCTATTACGGAATTGTATTGAATTGTATTGTTGGGAATGCGCTGAGTGAACTAAGAATTTTGCTATGGTATAAAATAAATCAGAAGGAATTTTTTATGTCAGGTTGCGTGATCTTCTCTTGCATCCACAACAATAAATAATTCTTGATATAAACAAGGCAAAACATGCATGCAATTCAAACTAACAAATGCATTTATATACAAATAAAAATATTATATACAAAATAATATACAAGATGTTATTGTGTTGGTATGTTCGTAGTAACTGTAGTTTTTTGTATGTCCTTTTTGTGTTTTGTGTATTTATATTACAGTCTTTAAGAAAATTGTAATTAGTGTTTAGAATATCGTTATTATGTTTTTAGAATTGAGTCATTCAGAAGTAGTCTACCCTTAACTGTAAGTATGAAATATGTCCAATAGTATTTACTTAAATTGTAGTGAGTGTTAATAATTCACTTTGGATAAGTAAAGTCTTGCGAGTAGAAGTTCTTTGTATTCACAAAGTAATCTTTGAGTCGAGTTTGTGAGTGAGTCAGTTGTGGTTTCGTTTGCGCGGGAAAATTATAATCGCAAGTGACGTGGATTAGATTAGCGTTTCTCTGTGTTTGCTGGACTGACTGATTTATCGTAGATGATCAAAGAGAATGTATAGTTTGAGATTCTTGAATGACGAAGAAGTTCGTAGAAG